AATATTGCGCTCTTTTTTGTTTCCCAAATCGCGATTGTTGATAAATATCATTTATTGTATTAGATTCATATATATACATATATATATATATATATATATATATACATTGTATACATATGTATATACATAAATAATTGAAACGTATGTGTATATTTTTCACACTTTAATTTATCAAAAAAAAAAAAATTAATTTAATTTTACGAATTGCGAGTAAATCACTTTATTTACCTTTTTAATATTGATTAGTTTTTTCTCAATATGTAGTATTACATATGTAAATATATTATGTGTTTAATAGTAATTGAATTAATGTAGGTGACTACGTGATAATTTCTAAGAATTTTTTATTTGATTTTTATAATAAATTTTGAGGGTGGGTTCTTAAACTACATTTAGTAATTAACAAATTTTTAATTTTTGATTTTTTTCCATAAATTTAATTTACTATAATTTTTTCCTGTTTAAATATAATAAGTTTGTTTGGGTAATTAGTATATATAAAATTTTAGTTTTAATGTAGATTATATTAGATTATTATTTTTGTATGACTGTAGAATTTTAAAAAAGGCGGAATTTTATAATTGATATTTCGCATTTATATTAAAAATTTTTGAATATATTATAAAAAAGTTACGTAAAATAATATTTTTTAAAGTAATATTTTAATTTTGTATAATATGTATTGCAAAAAATTTGTCATATTGTTAACTATAGTTAATTTCAATTAAGAAAAAACTTGAATTTCTTAAGAACAGGGTGACTGATTATATAAGTATATTATAGTAAAACTTTTTATTATAATGAAATTTATAAATTTACAAATTTCATGTTCAGTTACTGCTAATACTTCTTTAGTTAAAGTTAAATCTGAAAATTTACTGATTTTGATAACATATTAAAAATGTATACAGTGAAATTAATTTAAATTGTAATATAAATGAAGTATCTGCTATTTGAATTAATAATTTAAGATTCTTACATCTATGTAGCTTATATATTTTAATTTTGAAAATAATGATAATGCATAATGATTATATTTAATTATATTTATTTTATTTTGAAAATTTTAATTAAAATTCAAAGGTATATAAACCCTTGGGCAGATAAACTGTGACGAAAATAATATTTAAGAATTTAGGTTTCATATAGCATCAAAAGATTCTAATTGATCTTGTTTTTAACTTTAAAGTTTTAATTTTGAAACTAAGGTTAATATCGTCGTGCATGTTATGAGGAATTTCGTTAAAAATTCTAAAACATGATTTTCTCATTTTTTTCTTACAAAGTGGGATAGTTTGTTTTTGACTCTCTAATATACTCATGTATATAATGTTAACATTAGTATATTATTATGGACCAGTTATTATGACGCATTTATATTTTTTTTTCGAAATTATTTTGCTATTTAAATTTTTGGTTACAAAAAAGCGAAAGCTTTCATGTTTATAACAAAAACCTGTTGTTTATATTAAGAAAATAATAATTTTCGGTCGGTCTCTTTCATTCATTTATGGTATCAAATAATTACATATGGTTACAAATAATTAAATCTACTATGGATAAATATAAAAAATCTTTTAAATCCATTTTTATAGTTAATTAATTAAACTGGTAACACCACTAAAAAAACAAGGTGGCTAAAAAATTAAGCAATCGCAAATTTGTAATTCAGAAATTTTAGTTATAATAAATCATTGAATTAAATTTTGTATAATTTCTTGGATTTTTTTTACAAATCATTGAAAATTATTGATGGCAATAAAAGAAGACAGTCTAGCAGCTTTCGATTTGATAACATATAAGCATATTTTAAATAATTTTAAAATAATTTTAGAAATCAGTTAGAGATATTGAATTGAAACAATTATTGGGTTAGATGTCGCTATATATAATACAATAGTTTTTAATATATTTTTTGAAAAAGATGAAAAACGAAAATTTCCAATTTAAAAAATTGAAAAATAGAAAAATAAAATGCTCACGTGTTCTGTATGACTTTCTATTTTAAATCTATAAAATTAAATAATTTTTTTTTAGAAAAAACTAACATTTTTTAAATATTATAAACTTAATATTTATTTGTGTTTATATCTCAATTATATTATTGCAAATATATTGCAAATATAATTTTGAAAGTATATTTTAAAAAATTATCAAATATTTTGTATGTATTCTTGTATTAAATAAATAACATAATTATAATAATAATTAAGAAGAAATAAATAAAATTCTAATCTTATAAACTTATGAACTCCAAATATTTTTCATTTGAAGACTTGCACTATTTGTACAACACTGATAATTTCCGAACATCTATAATCCCACATCCCAAAATATACTGCATTTTTCTTGAAGTACTTACATATATAGATTTGATGGTACACTATAATAATATTTGTATAATAATACACGCTATAATAATATTTGTATAAAAATACATGTAGTAAATTGAACAAAGTACAATACAGTATATAGCTATAATTAAAGTAGATTTAATTGGTCTTAGAAAATATTATATGGATTATGCATTTTATGTAGATTGATAAACGATATTACAAAATATTTTATTATAGTCAGCATTTTATTAAATCAAATTAGATTTCAATTGTATAATTATAATCGAGTTTTTATCTCTCTATCATTCATTTTTTTTTTATTATATAAAACAATTTACTTTTCATATCAATTTTTTATTCTTGAAAAAAAATTATGCAAAAAAAAATTCATAGACAACTTTTTATTTCGTTTATAGCAATACGGTGAGGTTCATTGCAAATTAAATATTATTAAAATATTAAAATAAAATTGATTTTATGTCTTTTGACTTTATACGTTTATTATGCATTATTAACTTGACCATAATTTAAAAAAAAAAAACCAGTACAAAATTTCTTAATACACTTATTATTTATTCAATATTATATAGAGAATATTAAAGAGAAATTTATAATTTTTAACAAAATACGCAGTTAGTGTGTTAAAGCAAAATGTCGGAAGTTTAAAGAATTTTTCTCAAAATTTTTAGTTGTGTTGCTTGTATAACATGAGAAAATATTTAAAATAAAATAAACATTTAGAATTGTAAAATATTTGTATATATGTATATCAACATATTTTTAATAATTTTACATAATAATATAGAAGTAAATTTTTTTCGAAAAAAGATAATTTGAAATAAGATTAAAATAAAGGGCAAGATTACATAATTTGACCCAATTTGAATGCCTTCTTCATTTTGATTAATAAAGAAATATTTTGTGCTAGAAATTCTTCAAATAATTCTTAAATCAAAAATCGTTTAAGTCAAATTTAACAGATTTTTATTTATTTCATATTTTAATTCTCTATAATTTGATTTAGGCATTTTCTCAGATCTTGGTTAATATAGTTCAATTGGTTTTAAAGTTGCTGATAAATGTTAAAAAATTAGCAAATTTTGTTATAATTAGCCACCTAGATATCTTTTTTAAAATTAATTTAAATTTGCATTTTTGATATTTTTCTCTATTTCATGTAATAAATATCAGATAATTTAACTCTGTAAATTATTGATTTAATTATTATTACAGTTAATTTATTGGCTCACCTTTTATAAAATTTTTTCTAAAATTGAAAAACCATAATTTTTTCTTAAAATTCAATTTAAATTTTCACCTTTGACTTATCAAGTTTTTCCATAAAACCACAGAAATGCGATTTTAAATCCATATTTTTCATGTAAAAATATTTTCTTTTAATAATACATTATACATGCATAATACTGTGCATATTTTATAGTAGTTGCAATTGTAATTTACAAAAAAAAAAACACAAAAACAAAAAAAATAAAATTACTGTAATTAAATTTTTCATTTAGACCACCCTAAAACCAGTTTTTTTCTTTTTTTATTATTTTTTTGTGCGGTTAATATAAAATAAATAAAATATGTAAACACAATTATTAGAATGAAAATAATAAAAACGTAGCAAAAAAAAAAAAAACAAACCAAAGAAAAAAAATTTCGAATTAAGCATGAGCTTTTCACTTGCACGTATTTCGCTCTTCAATTCAGTATTTACTAAGCTTGAGTCTTAGGAACTTGATAAAAAAAAAATAATAATAGTTTCTTATAATATATACACAAACATATTTAGACTTACATATAAACATGAATTATTTATATATGTATATATAAATAATTTTTTTTTTGTTATTTAGTTTTTGTTACATATGTTCATTTGATTATTTTTGTTATATTTTGAACACATAATTATATATAAATAGTAATAAATAATTCGGAAAAATTATTTTGGTTGATTTTATTAAGTGTTATTTAATTAATACAATCAAAAAATAAATAAAAATAAACAATAATAATAATGTCGAACATATCATTAAATAAAAATAAAGAATGAAAATAAGAAATTTCAAATATTAAATAAATTACTTATATATAAAAATACATACATACATTAATTATTATTTTTAAATATTTTGCAATAATATTAATATGTGAAGTTTATTACTTTGTTTTTTTTTTTGTTGGTTTTAATTACAAAAATTTTTACAATAATTTTGTAAAATAAATTAGTTGCAAATATTAATTTTTATTATTTACTACATACATATGTACATACATATAGACTTATAATAATTTTTGTATTATTTATTTTGGTTTTTTACGTTCAAACCATTAAAGACATCTACATAAATATTTATTTTTTAAAAAAATATGTTATTATTAAATAGTTAGTTAATTTGTATATTTTACATATAAAACATAAAGTTTAAAATTTTATTTAATATATAATTTAACAATTTGACATCAAAATATAATTATAGTTTTAATTATTGAAAAAAAAAATATATTAAAAATTAACAATATTTTGTTTTTATTTTTTTTTTTGTTTGTAAATAATAAATTCATTAAAATATAAAAGAAAAAAAATTAAATAATTTTAAAAAAAAATTAAAATTGAGCAAGGGAATTTTTTTATATTTACAATGAAATTTTTTCTAGGATTAACTAATTGGTCTGATAATACAAAATATGATGGAAATTCATCTGAAAAGGTAAATTTAACAAAACTTTATTTGAATGTTTGCATACTTACATACATAATATATGTGTGTAAATGTACATAAAAAATCAATAATTTTTTTTTAAATAAATTTTTTTTATTTTTAAATTATTTTTGTAGTCACCAGATGCAGCAAAATTAAATCGTAAGGAATCATATAAGGCACAAAGAAAAAATTATAGGCGTGAGAAAAAGAGAGTTGCTTCAGAACTATTAAATTCATTACAAGATCCAGCTGTTATTGTTCTCGCCGATTGGTTGAAGGTAATTGAAAAAAAAAAAAAAAAAACAGCTTTAAAAAAATTATAATACGGGAAAGAAAATTTAATAGAGTTATTCTTTGCTTCATTACGACTTTTAGAGAAAAACTAAATAATATTACATTAAAAAATTTAAATTTTTCCCTTTTTTAATACATGGATGTACAATGTTGTAAATTGGTTTTAAACTCTGCTGATAAATATTTTTTTTCACGTTTTTGTGCTAAATCACTTATTCGCTTGTGTAAATTTTATATACTTGTATATGTTATATATCATATCTACCCACTTGACTGGATATTCCGAACTTGTTCAAAATTCTTGTGATTTAAGTTATCATGTGATTTTTATACCGGGAAAAAATAGAATTATTACTTATAAGCCTGTTGTGTTGATTGACTATTTAAAATGTAAACAAGAAATATCAAATCTTGTGGTGTCAAACATGTTTGATACTATATTAATTTTTATTAAAATTTTTTTAAATTATTTTATACATGCGTTTACCGAATATTTTTTCAAAGAAATATTATTACTTTTTGAAAATAAATAAGAGTTTTAAAAATATATTAGCAATTATATGCAATTACTAGCAACAAAAATATTCTTTTTAAGAAATTGCAACTCACACTATTTAATTTGCAAGTATACTCATTTAAATAGTTTTCTGCAAATCATTTTTAAAATTTGATTGATATTGTAAAAAAAAATTTAGCAGTCATTTAATCACTTTCATACAAATAGTTTAAAAACACTTAATGTGAGAGAGTTATTTTTGATACTACTTGAACATTTTTTATAAATATTAATTTTGTTTGATTTCTTTAAATTTGAAAAAAAAAAAATTATATAAATTTTAGAAAATTAGAAAATTTAGTCTTATTTGAGAATTGACTGTTTATAAAAAATTTATTATCATGCTGTATGATTACGATATGAATGACAATTGACTTTTGTTGTTATGATTAGAGTCATAAGTATTTAATGCTAATGTATTGTTAATGTATTATAGTTTCATAATTATTATCTGTAAAACTGATAATATTTAAAATTTGTAATTATAAATTTATTTATGGTCTTTTAAAGAGGAATATAGTCTTCGCCTTCAATAGGCATCACATATTTAGGCTTGAATTACAAGCATTAAATAGAAATGCAAAACACATACAAAATGTCAATGTTTTTATACTTAATTTTATATATATTTTTTCAGAAATTGAATAAATAATTTCCCAATAATTATTCATGAGCCCAATGACTTAAATTAATAATAAAATAATAAATTCATTGAAAATAGATTTTTATTTAAATTTCATTAAATTATTATGTATGTATTTATTTATTCTGGTTATTTTAGTTATGGTGATGAATTAAATTGCAATTTTAATGAAGAATTGTATGTCAAATATTATGTGTATAATGGTATTAAATTATAGGAAATCAATTATCTACCTGCTTAAATATGAAAAACTACAAACTATTATAATCTTTTTTGGCATTCGAACTAATTTTAATTTAGTTGATAAACTTTAGAAATTGAAAAATATTTTTGCACTCTTATTATAAATATTACGTCGATTTATAATTAGACTAAATCGAATTCAAAACAATATTTGTTTGAAAAATATTGCTAAGTGTTATATAAAATTAAGTTTCATATTTGAAAAAAACTTATTTGAATTTTCTACTTAAATTTGTATTAATGCAAACTGCTACTAATTTAGGTTCTAGTAAATATACCTACTTCATTATTTTTTTTTTGTAAACCTTAGCTTATTTATTAAAAATATTGAATAATTATACAAATTAGATAATACTTGCGCTTGAAACTTTCACATTTGTTATGCATATTTTTTTATAACAGGTTTTTTTTATTGTTCTATCAACAGTATGTAATTAAATTCTAAAAAACTTCTTTCAATCCAGTCAAACTCCTTCATACAATGTCATACAAGTTAGATTTTTTATAAATTAATTAATATTATAAATGTATCTAGTAAAAATTAAGTAGTACTTATAAAAATTAAAGAAATAGTATTGAAATTGTAAATTAAAATATAGGAACTCTTAGCTAATCAATTAAGTTTTATTAAAACTTTGTTAAAACGAACGGATTTGTTATACATATTTAATTATAATAAATTTTTGTATCATTAATTTCATATTAATTTTTTTTACCTTTTTTTTGGATTATAGGTACGAGGCACATTAAAATCCTGGACAAAATTATGGTGCGTTTTAAAGCCTGGTCTTTTGTTACTTTATAAAAGTCCTAAAACTAAAAGTAGTCATTGGGTTGGAACAGTATTGATAACTTCATGTCAAGTTATTGAACGTCCCAGTAAGAAGGATGGTTTTTGTTTCAAATTATTTCATCCAATGGAACAATCAATTTGGGCTCCCAGAGGGCCTGACAAGGAGACAATAGGTATTTTTGAATTATGAATGCCATAAGCATTACGATATTTCAGTGCCATAAATAAAATTTACTATTTTATAGAAACATGCATTTATTAGTTTAGAACATTTAATTAAATGTTTGTAAAATTTTAGGAGCAGTCGTTCAACCCCTACCAACGGCTTACTTAATATTTAGAGCACCAAGCCAAGCCGCTGGTAAATGTTGGATGGATGCGCTTGAGCTCTCTTTACGTTGCTCTGCATTATTGTTACGATCTAATAGTCAATCTGGAAATACACCAGAACCTCCAGTTGGTTCTGCGCAATCAACTCATGAAACTCAATGGTCAGAAGCTGATTATGAAAAGCATTTCAATGAACACGGTTAGTATTTTGCATTTTTTTTTTTTTATATTAATAAATACAAATTTTGATCTTACTTCTTTTACGTTTACAAAAAAAAAAAAAAATTTAAATTGAAAAAAACATGTAAAAAAATTCGTACTAGGAAAGCCACAATTTTTGGTAAATTATATACCACCAACTCCACCGTCAGACAAAAAGACAATAGATTTTATCAAACCAGATTATAGTAGTAGTTCGGCTGAAAGTCGAAGCCCGACACCAATTTTTCAGCAATTATATTGGACAATGTCAAATTTGGAACGTTCAATGGCAAATTCAACGGAATTTAAAAGAATAAAAGATTTCCGTTATTCTAGTCTATTGCGATCAAAAAGTAAAGATGATGTTTCGATCAGCAGTAGATCTAATTGTGTTAGCGAAGATGAAGATGAAAATAAAAATTTAGGATTTGAAAGTTATTTTAAAGGAAAATTAAAAAAATCCCTTTCCGTAATTGGAAAATCTTCTCTTACTACATTTGAATCGAGTGAAAGTGATGATGACGATAATGAAATATTAAATGATAATTTGGGTGTTAAAATCGATAAGGGTATTTAAAGTTATGTACTGTTGATTTAGATATAATATAGTAGATTAAAAATAAGTATATTTAAATGTAGTTAAATTAACGTTAAGAAATGTTATTATTATTGCTTATTGTTGTCTGCTTGAGCAATTATTTTTCATCTGAAAAGTTATTAAAAAAAAAAGAAAATATGTACTTAATCATTTTGTTTCCAAAGTACGGATTCCGTGTTACACTTTAATCAACTTACACTATTGGAAAAACATCAAAAGAAGAGCAAGTTGCTAAGAGGAAAGCTTACTTAAATATATAAAGTCTAAAAAGACTGTATTTACGATTTAATCTGTTTTTATGCTAAAAACCAATAACTTAGTTGTCCAATGATTTAATTTAGAATTCGCTAAAAATATTACTATTACGCATAACTGTAAAAAAAAAACATTATGAGCATTACACAAAAGTTTATTTTTTTATACAAAAAATTATTGCTAATATTTCTATTACAAAATTATTAAATTTGCTAGTTTATTTATGACAAATGCGTTTAAGATTCATACTGCATAATTTATTTTTGAATATTGAAGATTTGGATGCTGACAGTCAGAATGAGGCGGCTGCTCCTTTAAATTCCGGTGTGGATTCTGAATCAGAGTCTGATATAGGTGATGGTCCCGAAATAGATGTTGATAGCCAAGATGATCCGCCAGAGACAGCATATGTTCATTTACCTGAAGATGAATTTGGTGGTGTAAGTGTATTAATTATTAAGTGCAATGGAAAAAGTGTCAATATTAATTTTTTAAATTTATTTTTTATTAAGGCTGGAGAACAAGTACAAGAATTACATGAAGAACAAAAAAGTTTAATTTGGTTTTTAGTTAAACAAGTCCGTCCAGGAATGGATTTAAGTAAAGTGGTTTTACCAACATTCATTTTGGAACCAAGATCCTTTTTAGATAAACTATCAGACTCATATTATCATGCTGATATCTTATCCAGGTAAATAAGTGTTTTCTGTTTTAAAATGCATTTTTAGTGTAAATGATTCAACAAATATTTATCGAAAATATATAATATTTATTTTAGGGCCGTTTTGGAAGATGATCCGTTCACTCGAATGAAAACTGTTGTACAGTGGTATTTATCAGGCTTTTATAAAAAGCCAAAAGGTTTAAAAAAACCTTATAATCCAATATTAGGAGAAACGTTTCGATGTTTCTGGGAGCATCCAAACGGAAGCCGAACATTTTATATTGCAGAACAAGTTTCTCATCATCCACCAGTTTCAGCGTTTTATGTGACAAATCGCCAGGATGGTTTTAGTATAAGTTGCAGTATTTTGGCAAAGTCAAAATTCTATGGTAACAGCACTTCTGCCATACTGGAAGGTTTGGCTACATTAACATTACTCCCACGTGGTGAAAGCTATACTTTAACAGTACCTTATGCCCATTGCAAAGGTATATTAATGGGCACTTTATCGATGGAATTAGGTGGAAAGATTAATATTGATTGTGAGAATACTGGTTATAAAACGGAAATCGAATTTAAATTGAAACCATTAATTGGTGGATCGGAATACACAAATTATATTTCTGGTAAAATAAAATTGGGTAAAGAAACCATGGCAACAATTAATGGGCATTGGGATTCTGAAATGCGAATTAAAGATTGTAAAACTAATGAAGAAAATTTGTTATTTGCATCTACTAAAGAAATAAGACAACAGAGGTTAAAACGCTACGTTGTACCTATAGAATCACAGGGTCCAACTGAATCTGAAAGATTATGGCAACACGTTACGGCTGCTATATCAAGGGATGATCAAGTTGGTGCAACCGAAGAAAAAACGGTTCTCGAAGAGGCACAAAGAAATTCTGCTAAAGAAAGAAAAGCCATGTTGACAGAATGGATAGCTAGTCATTTTCAACAAGATTTATTAACAGGAAAGGTAATATTATAAATTTTAATAGATTTCTTTGAAATGAAACTAACAGAAAAATAATACCCATCTTGTTGTTTTTAGTGGATATATAAGTACGCTGATTTAAGGCCATGGGATCCTAGGAATGATTTAAGGCAGTATGAATCTGATTATAGAATAATAACGAAAACAAGACATCAAGCTCCAATGGTTAGAACAGCTAGTATAGTAAGTTCAGATCCTCTTCACGTTATTCGCGCTGAATCTAGATCTTCATTAACTTGCACTGCTTTAAAGGTTAAAAGAAGTGGAGGCGTTTTAAAATTGCAAAAAGAAGGAACGGTTCATTCAGATTCTAGCCAGTCTAACGATGATAATATACGCCATTTGGATAAACTATCTTTGCCTAGTAAAAATTTTTCAAAGTGAGTTTAAAATTGTTGTTCCAGATTTCGTTAAGTCAGTATTTGTCTTAATGTTTATGCTTGTTAAAGGTGTAACTACTTTTTACTATTGATATTATTTACATTTAGATGATTATTTAGTTTTTTTTTCATAAACTTTCTTTTCTGTAAATTAGGTATTTTTACTGGTCTTTACTATGTTTAAGCTTTATGTTGATTGTTTGTTCAATTTTAAAAGAAGTAATATTTCTTGTCTGTTTCACATTTGTAATATAATAAAGTGTATGTGAAATTTTTTGTTATTATATTTAATATTTTTATGCGAGCTAAATTTTGCAGTTAAGCTCATTGCTACTCTTAAGACCAAGTATTATTAATATAATTTAAGTAACTTGAATCAAAATGTTTGTTAAGTGTTTTTGTAGTTTTTTTATCGAAGTTCTATAATTTTTTTATCAAATTAAAGTGACCAGCTATCGTAAATATAGAATTAATATTATTAATAGATCCTATAGAATTTTTAGAAATTGAGAAGCAATATACAATATAATTATTATTTCGAGTGGCTTCAAAATGTTATCTTTTGCAGAAGGTTATGTAACTACTTAACATGTAAATTTAAAATTAATGAGTTATTAAATAAAATTTAAGGAAGTTACAAAAAAAAAATTATCAGCTATTATAAATTTTTACATTTATTTATGCATATTTAATTTTTTATTGTAATAATATATAATTATATACATTCTCTCTTATAAAAATATATCAAATTTTACTTTTAGGATATTGGATTCAATTGAAAACATCAATAGAACATTAGAAAAACATAATAAACAATTGGAATCAATTGAGTCGATCTTAAATCGAATGAAATATCAACAAGCATATAACAATTCTCCACAATATTCCTTCAATTTTACATTTCCGATGTTTATTCGATCAATTGGATTTATATTTATTGGGTTTTTCATTCATATATTTATAAAATTAATATATAGAAATTAAGAAATGGATATGAAATGAAAAAAATTGTATTGAGAAAACAAAAATTTATTTAGAATTTGTACAAAAATTTTTGCATAACGTAACTATTATCGATTTCCTTTTCGAAAATTTTAGGTTTGTTTTAAGTATTGTTAGAATTTAAATGTCTATAACATAAAGAATAATATGTTTGAAGTTTACTGTGAGGGAAAAGCTATGTATAGATATGTGGTGAAATTTTCCATTTAAATAACTATTATTAATTTATTTTATTTTTGTTTTAAGATTGTGTACTTTTATTTTTATTTTAATTTTTAAAAATTTTAACAAAATATTGGAACGAAGAATTTCTATAAATAAAAATTTAAAGGCTTTTATGACAAATATTATGTCTTTTATAGTTTTATTAAACAAATTACACTAGAACATTAATTGTAAAAATTTGGTTTCTTTAATTCAAAGCTCTCTTATTTATGATATACAAATATTTATTATTATTCTTTTGATTAATGTTGATAATCGTTCAAAAATATCATCAACGCACAGGTTGTTATTGAAATATATTTTTTAATTGAAGAAATATGAACATTCCTTTTAAAATTTTTAAAATTTGTTTTTTCTGAATTTTAGGAGGTTTTCCACTTCCAGAAATATCGTACTACAAATATTGTGCATTTTAAAATATAATTATTTCCTAATGCAAAAAAGAAGTTATTTTTTTCATAATCACATTAAATAATTGACTTAGAATTGTAAAATACGTTGTAATATATTTATTTAAACCCATTCTCAGCGAAATAATCACATCTGACATAAATACGTTTATATATTTATAACAGGGTTAAATGCATTGCCATACACTTATTGCGGTGAATTTTTTCATTGTACAAAAATTCATAAAAAAATTAGAATTTCATCTTTTATAATATTCCAAAAAAGAAAGTATTTTGTACATGAGCGACAATTGAATAATAGCATTACCAAGTTAATTTATTAAATTAAAAAAATTCTTAATTTAAAATTAAAAAATTCTTTGTGTTATGTAAAGGGTTGTATATCGGAAAACAAAAAAGCGAAACATCAACTTACTAATAAAATTGTACGACTCTATTTTGCGAATAACATAAATATTTTATATTCTTTACATTTGTATTACTAAAAACTAAATAAGGAATAATTAAAAACAAATTGTAAAGCACGTATTGTTAGTTAAGTATTCACAAATTTGAGATTTTCAGTAACTTATCAAGAGTCATCAGTTAACATTTTTGTGTAGATTATTTTGGAAAATTATAATTAATTGTAAGCCTCCGTCATTGATTTTCCATCAGTTTTATTCATTATAAAAAATATAAAACAATGTTACGCTAAAAAAGTTTAAATTAAGGAATTAGAACGCTTTCCTTTTATTAAATCAGATTACTCCTTTTTTCTTAATGAATATTCTTTGCAAAGTTATTGAAAATCTTTAACGATTGAAATTTTCCTTATTATTTCAATGTGTTGCTGGGTAAGCTTTTGTTGCGGTCAGCAAACACTTAGTCCATAATTTTTTTTTAACAGAATTTTGTAAGCGCATAAGTAAGTATGGTATCTGATTATTGGTGATCTTAGATTCGACACACGTACTTTACCATTTATTATTAAGTTTATTATTAATTTTTTGTTAGCTAGAAAAAAATTTATAAAATATGTTAGATATTTAGCAAACAGTTAGATGTTATTTAATTTATGTACATATCAATATTTACTATTACATTTTTAATTTTTGTACATTTGAGGCAAAAACGCAATCTAATTAAACATAGGTAATTATCGATTATCAACAAAATGAAATTTTCAAGAAAGTTTGCTTTGTATTTACTGGGAAATTAATTAACACAACCCATTTATCACTTCTGCCGAACTTTAATTATTTCATTAAATTGGTTAATATTTAATTTGATAGTTTCTTTTTTTTAATCAAAAATAGATTTATTTCACATTTAATATAAAAGTGTAATTTTCATTTGTTTTTAAAAAAAAATTTGTTAAAAGTGCAGGTCGATGCAACTAATACTTCCTTATATTATATTTTATAGGTTAAATATATCAAAACTATAATATTGTTAGAGTTAAATATTAGTAAGAAAGTAATCATCATCAAATAAAAAATACATGTGCATTCAAAAAGAAAATGCTAGAAATCTATGTAAATTGGAAATTGAAATAATTATTACGTATATTATTTGTAAACATATACGAAAGTTATATTAATAATCAAATAATTGTGCTGAAATAACTGAAAAAAGATATTTTTTGCAGCAGCTAGAGTATTTTTATTCATAATGATTTTTGTTTCGGTTTGATAAATTACAAAATTAAAAAAATTTTAATGATTGCAATAAAGAGACAAGTGAATTGACTTAAATTTTGATATTTTACTCGATTAATTTCAAAATTCTACGGAAGTTTCTAAAAGTGAACTAAACCAAAATAAAATTTTTCGATTTCTGATCTAAAATGAAGTTAAACTTTAGAATAAAAAGTTGTCTGTTTTTCTATTTACAATAAAATTTTAATTTGTAGGCAATGTATTAAAAATCTGAAATTAATTATTGGTTAATAAAGCTATTATTTTCATATCCCTTTTGTGTATTCTAAAAAAAATTCAGTTTGGGACCATATCGATTTTAGATCTTGAAAAGTAACGCGTCTCTTTACTAACTCTTTTTAGTTATTTCAGTATTATTATTGTTGTACGAAAGTTAATTCATCATAAAAAATATGAAATAATCATAAATAAATATTACCAACACAAAAAGTGACAAATCATAAGTTCTTTTTTTAAATAATTAAGAAGAAACATAATAATTATTATAATCATTTATTGTAATTGCTAAAAAGTAAATTTAACTAAGCGCAAATCAATAATTAATATAAGTACTAGCAGAAAAAAAACAGGAAAATCTAGTTATCTATACAATAAAAAAAAATTAAAATGAAATAAAAAAGAATCACTAAAACTTTTGAAAATTATCTTGCTAATAGTTTTAATAGCATTATAGCATGAATTTTTAAAATTTGAAATTTGACTAAGTATAATTTTAACATCCGTACCGCATTTAAAATATTGATATGAATTCTTATCAGTTTTCGAAAAGAATATTAAACAAAACATACTTTTTTTTTAATAAATTGATAATTTTTATTATTACTGCATTAATAAATATTTTATGTAAAAATGCATCTTTAATATTTATATGAAAAGCTATGATGTTTATAACAAAATTAATACTTATTAAAAAAAAAAATCTCAGAAAAATTTAAAAATATTTACGAAAAATTTTAGTTTTTACTGAGTTTTTATACATTTAACATAAATTTTTTTATTTTTTTGCTTATATTCATTTTTTTTATATACAATAATTAAGAAAAAGTAACTGACTTTAAAATGTTCGAATAATAGATATATAAAATAATCTTTTACAAATAAAAATTGGCCTAATTAATTTGTAAGCTATTCTTGCAGAATTATATTTTGTTAAATGCTGCTAATAATTTTTATACATATTATGAGTATTATTTGTAAAAAACAAAATTTTAAAATGTTAACAATTTACTTTTGTTTGTTAAGAGCTAGAATTGCACAATTTTGCTCAAAATTATATATTTTTTCAAAAGAAAAAATTGAAAGATATAAACCAATTACTTGATAAATGCTGTGAATATTAGTTTAAAATATTAAAATTTTTTTTTTGAAATGATAACAACCATAGTTTTATTTTCAGTTAAACTGGAATATGTCATGTTAATGAATTAGCATTTAAAATCGCTACTTGTATCTTATCAATATAAATAAAAAAATTAGTTCCTTTAATGATTTTGTTCAAATATTTTTGTTACTTTAGCCATCGTAATATATGTAAATATTTCTTAAGTAATTATTTTTTTTTAGATTATCCAATAATAAAATGTAGGTTCCTTGAAAGTTGAAATATTTTTAAAATTGATTTATTTTTAATTATAGTAGTATGTAAAACTTAAATTTTATAATTGAATTTAAATTTCATTCTAATTTTTATTGTTGGATTAGATTAATCCATTTTGAACAAAAAACAAAAAACTTATGTAATTGAACAAATATAAAAATGTAGTTTTTTGAATTACGATAGTCCAAAAATTACGAGTAACAAAAATCGTATAATGTTTAAAACGGTTTCTCAACTCTAAAATAATTGGAATTTCACTCAAAATAACTTAATGTACATTCTTTAAGTAACTAGAATGCAAAAAATAAAAATAATATGCTATTAAATTGTTCACTTGATAGTTATAATAGTAATAAAATTATTATTAAATACTTTTTTCTACAATGTTACAATATTAATAGTTAAAACTTGAAAAACTCAATTCAAATTATTTTACTTTATTAAATAAATACACATATGTTTAATAATTTAAACTAAAAGTGACAAATTAACGATAATTATAATTCGCTATTTAGATAATACAAAGATTATATTATAAAAAAGGATGATATTTCCGAAAATACTTTTTGCATTTCGTTCAAAAACCTTTTGAATTTCCTAAAGTACAAAATATAATTATACCGCGAATAATTAAATTGCATAGTACAATCAGCATCTTACTCTTTACTTAAATCATCTTTTTTTACTTAATGTGAAATATTTGAAATGGAATATTTATATTCATAAAATACTATTTTAATTTGTGTATTTTTATAAATTGAACTTATTGGGAAAATTATTTTCCAATTTTCTCTTTAACTTAAACAAAAATTCTAATTTCAAATGCAAAAAGTAGATATAAATAAATTCATCCCAAGTATAAAATATATAAAAATGTTATTGTAATGCAAAAAAATTAAAGAAAAAAAATTAAAGAAAAAAAAAATTTTAAAGATTTTTTTAAGTGTCCACAAGATGGAAACAATTTATTTAAATTATTAAAATCAATTGAAAGAATTTGTTTACTAAAATTCTAAGCAGTCTCTTAAAAATTAGAATTAAACTAGTATTTAAATTAATAAATTTTCCGATTGCCTCCTGTACAGCTTTAATATCCAAATTTTATAAGACAAAAAATACAAAAAAAAAACTCTAAGATTTTGCAAGTTTAATGAAAAAATTTAATAAAATAGCTACTCCTCATAATTTTTCTCTTTGATTTTTTTTTCAAATAATCTTAATTCTTTTTTTTTTCATTTTATATTTACATTTTTATTCAAACATATTTAATCTTGCTATATAAATAACTAGAAAATGAAAAAAAAACTTTAAAATAATTAAAAATAATAAATTTAAGAAATTTATCATTAAACGCATTTTACTTTTAGTAAAACAAGTAAATTCTAAATATTTATAACTTAAACAGTTATTACG